TCACAGTAACTTTAGTGCTCCTGAATTCGTTAGCATTTTTGTTAATGGCTGTTATCTACACTAAACTGTATTGCAACTTGGAGAAAGAGGACCTCTCCGAAAACTCCCAGTCCAGCATGATTAAGCATGTCGCTTGGCTAATCTTCACGAATTGCATCTTTTTCTGCCCTGTTGCATTTTTCTCATTTGCACCGTTGATCACTGCAATTTCTATCAGCCCTGAAATAATGAAGTCTGTTACTCTGATATTTTTTCCGTTACCTGCTTGCCTGAACCCAGTTCTGTACGTATTCTTCAATCCAAAGTTCAAGGAAGACTGGAAGTTGCTCAGACGTCATATGACCAGGAAGAGTGGAGCAGTAGCAATTTCCGTCAATACTCAAGGAGGCTGTGTGACACAGGATTTCTACTATGACTGTGGCATGTACACACACTTGCAGGGTAACGTTGCCATGTGTGAATGTTGCGAATCGCTCCTTTTATCCAAGCCTGTGCCATGTAAACATTTAATAAAATCCCACAGCTGCCCCACACTGGCAGTAGTGCCTTGCCAACGGCCAGACGGCTACTGGTCGGACTGTGGCACCCAGTCAGCCCACTCTGATTACGCAGACGAAGATGACTCTTTTGTGTCGGACAGTTCAGACCAAGTGCAGGCCTGCGGGCGTGCATGTTTCTACCAAAGCCGAGGATTCCCTTTGGTTCGTTATGCCTATAACATACCAAGAATTAAAGACTGAAAGGCTTTGCCATCAAGCTGTTCTAAGCAAAAGGTATAATGCTTCATAGACAGTTACCTGTTTTGACCTTTCATCCAGGAAGCACTTTTGTAATCATTTTTTTGGCGTCATTTGTAAAGAAGGGAAGCGGGCAGTAATTTCTTGAGCCGTACATTTAAAAAAAATAAATAAATTGCCCTAACTGTAAATAATTGGTAAACCAAATTTGTTACCTGGTATTTTTACTCTTTGCAAGCAATAATGGTTTCTTTTATACAGTTTTTACATGCTGAAGGTCTCTTTCCATGTTGTACTCCAATTCTATTTTGCTTCTGCTGTTGGCAAGGTAAGTTCTGTTGGGTTTTTTTTTTTCTTCCTGCCAAAGCACAATATAAAGGACAGCTGTTAATATTAAAGAAATTGTTTTTTAAGTATGACTTTTCTATAATTAAGCAAACAACTCTGTTGCCAGCTTTGTATTGTGTATTCAGCATTGAATCTCAGGATGAATTATACTGCAGGGCCAAAAAAGGGATTAATTCTCCCATACAGAACTGTGAGGATGATATAGAAACACCATGTTTGTTTTATATTTCAAGCCAATGTTCGATTTTTAAAACATTTTTTTTCTAATGGAAGTACTTACAATCCGCAGACTCCATGAAATAAAAAATATTAACAGCTGTGATTGAACACATTTTTCAGTGATGATGCATTGCTTCAGGTGAACCACAGCACCTTCCTTCAGTATTATGCAGTAAAGTCCTGCTATTGGAAGGAATATTGATGGGTCAGACGGTACATCAGCAGTCCTGTCAGTGTATGCAACTTGTGTTTGTAGGAAAAGACTGGCTAATGTTTTGCCTTCTGTTGAATGCTAGTGCACCCAGCAATATCCATGAATAGACTGAGATTTTAGCAAATGGAGGGACAACAGAAAGCAATTTTGCAATAAAATACATGTTTTTGCCAATTATTTTCCTGAGAGTAAAGTGCATTGTGTGGAGTCACTGATTTTTCATATAAATCAGTGCATTATTTTTAAACAATTTAAGTCCTGAGGCCCAAATCACTTAACTACAATTAGTGATCCATTTATCTATATTTAGTTTGAAATCTGATCAATAAAGTTATGAATGCATGATGAAGTAATTATGTACGTTTCTTGAGCAATACGTTAAATCAAGAGCAAATCCACTGCCATCCCAGTTCCTCTGGAGACATTCTTGTAAAGATTTAAAGCTAGATTGCTGTTTTGAGAATTAAACTGTATATACTGTTCATATGATGAATTTTTATCTTTGTATTGTAAATTATTTGATAGAACACATGATGGGAAATGTGGCTTCAGTTCATTTTGTTAATTAAAGCTACCTCCTAAAATATAGTGGCTGCCAGTAGCAGAATGTTTAAAATGTGGTTTATATACTTTTTGCATTGTAAATAGACATGGTTGTATATTGTCACTGTAATAAAACAGAATCCTTGTATATCAAAATCATGTAGTTTGTACAAAATATGGGAGGATCATTTACTGTATGCTGTTAATTTTGTAAGCCAAAATATTCACATATAAAAGCAAAAGAGAGGAAAACCACCCCGGAGTTGTTCATTCCTATATTTACATTCATAAATATTATGTCTGCAATTAGCCTGGAATGTTACACTGAAAGCAAATAAAGGGTACATGAATACTGATTATTATTTATCTCAATTTTTTTAAAGCTGAGATTGAAAATGGTGCAGACAGATAAAAAGATTGTAGATGAAATGTGTCCTCTGCACTCTGCTACATGTGGTTAGAGTTTTGGGAAAGAATTGCCAGCAAAACAAGAGAGTTGCCAGTTTATATGTGGATTTATGATCTCAGACTAATGCTGACTCTAGGCATGTGGGATGTTAAAACATTCAGATGTGTTTGCCCTCTTACAAAGTGATTTCTTTTTTTAAAAAAAAATACATATAGAATGTAAGCTCAAATGTTTTTAGTACAGCTTTGAAAGTCATCCAAATTCTAATTTTATTTTTAAAACTGTTTCCATGCTAAGATTTCTTTTTTTTTTTTTTTTAAGTCTTAGTTTTGTGAATTCACATAGTCTGTTAAACGCTCCCTCTGTTGGCCAGTTAGTCACAGGTAACAAGAATATCTTCCAAAAAGGAACAAAAATGTCAGATGCAGTGTTATAGTCCATTTTAAAAAATCTGGTGTATTTCACAAACAGTATTATTATATGGGTTTTTCCTCCTCTGTTTTACAAATAAGTCTTCACTGAAATGCTGTTAAAACTGTCAAATCTGAACTGTCAACTGTTCATTTGAAATTCTAGTATTTCATTATAAATCACTCTATTCGGAGTTGTAATTATGCTAATGGTTAACTTTTAATGCAATTAGTCCAGTGACTTTCAGCATACACAGGTTCTGTCTACAGGTGGAGATAAAAGAATGCAGGCAATAGCTACTCACAATCAATACACCAAGAAACAGTGCTGCAAAGCTCAACCTGTCTCAATATCACCTTATACCCAACACCTGTGGATAATCATATAAGGAGAACTCGGAGAAATCCAGCCAACAGGTACCGAATAACTCATTTGTCATGTCTTTCCCAGACTAGCTGATCTCAATAGCAGGGCCTAATGTTCACATGTCCGCAGTCACAACAGAAAAGACATTAACGGAAAATTCGCTCTTCCCTCCTCCTGGTATCAAAGATGGGTGGACAGTTTTCCTTAAAGCTGTACTGTGTTCTGTTTTTTCTCAATTAACTCTGTACAAGTGATTTTCAGAATTACCACTCTCGGGCAGCCTCCTTTAGGAAGCTAAAGCTAAGCAAAGCTTCCCAATTTCAGTTTTGATATTGAAACAACTGCAAGCTTGAGAATTTAAGCCCTTCTTGGGTGTCTACAGGAAACAAATCCTCTGATTTCCTGAAGTCTAAAGCTAGCTGAAACTGTCCTCATAGTGACAATGTCAATGACCTTATTTCGAAACCTGCTAAACCACTGTTGTAGCTGAGCTGTGAGAGTGGATTTAGCACACAGAAAGAATTTGCTGGTGACTTTGAAAAAAGGATCACTTTGAGTAAGGAGATCTTTTGCTTTCCTCATTTCCATTTGCTGGGATAAGGAAGCAGCTTTATGCAAGGGAGCAGAGGCAAAAAGCTACTAACAGTTGTTGCTAAGGTGGTATTCCTCCCGCATTAGAAGTAGTTTCATATAGACAGATATTAGTCTGCTATACTGAAGCATCTGGGTGAGTTCTTTTAATTTGAAATGGGGCCTTCTATTCTCTTACAAAAATAATACAGCTAATTGGCAACTCTTTAGTCTGGATCCCTTTCCCCTTTTTTCATTACTTTCCAGTAGAATTTCCTATGTTTAATCATGCAGTTACTCAGAAATTTCAAAGTTGTACAAAAGACTTTTTCCCCAATAATTCTTTTGACTTTGATTATTATTTTTAAGCCTTCTGTTTTAATTTGCAAGCTAATATTTTTAATTAAAAGAACAACGTACAGTTTGTTTCATACATCTTAGTTCAATCATTTTTAATTATGTAGATGCTTTTGATATTTTATTTCAAGCATATTTTTAGCAAGAGTTTTTTTTAATTTATTACCTTTCATATATTGTACAGTAGACTCTTACCAATTTACTCTTATCACTAAGAGTCCGGCTGAATACGTTTTAGAAAATTTGGAAGTGAATGGAAACTAAAATAGGATAATGCATTGGATATTCCTGTGTTTTGTTTACTGTTGTGTACTGGAGGATAAGTGGACACATTTCAATATGTTGCATTCATGGCATTACACTCCTGTTAAATATCATCGTTTAGGTTTTACTTAAGAAATACTAGTTAAAGGTCACTGCAGCACTTACAATAAAATTGTTTATATTTGAGGGTAACAAAATATGAGGTGTCTCACTGGATTCTGGTAACAAAAGTATAACTTACAAGTATCATTTGAAAACTTCAGCCAGAAAATGAGCAAATAAATCAGTTAGTAACTGAAGTTTTTTTAAGAGCGTGATGACTGGAGTAAAGAGTGCATAAGCAAAAACTCGCTATGCAAGTGAAGGCTGTTCAAAAGCAGCAGGGCTGTGGTCCCCAAGTAATAAAAAAAAACAGAGGCATCTGACTTGAATATAAGGTGAAATCAAGCCAACTGAATTGAGTGGAGATCCTGCTGTTGATTCAGAAAGATGAGATATTACGATAAATGTTTCTTAGAGTTCTTGCACATTCCCCTGTGACAGAGAGAAGTTTTTACCTTCTCAAGGCTGTGCCCCTTGAAAGCAGACTGTTCATCTTCAAACCAGCAGAAGCTGGACTGGGCTTTGTAGTGGATACCATGTAATGCAGAGGGGAGACTACACTGTAAGGTGAAAGAAAATGGAAGGAATCTTAAGATCCCTCAGATTTAACAGCCTGTAATTAAGCAGAATTACACATGCAGGCACAAAAGCAGTCAACAGAGTGGCACAGGCTGTGCTGCTTCAGCTCTCATAATGGGTGTGGAGCCCAACAGCTTTCTTCCTCATGCACATGCCTGCTGCACCACACATTCCTCCCACACTAGAAGGTCTGAAAATTTGGGAAGACTTCTTAGACTTGATTGAATTTAGTTCAAAAAACTTTTTAACTTAGATTTAAAATTTAGACATACATTTTTCATAAATGTATGCTTAGTTGATATCAACAGGCTTAAGGCATGCTGTCTATGCCTTAATTTGTGCCTAAATTTAGTAGTTCTTTTTGGTAGAATTATTTTCATGCATTTTGTTTGTTAAGAATGCAGCTACATCTGAAAGCATTTTTATTTGATTCTTCTCATTAAATGTGATTGATGTTAATGTAGCTAAACTGAGGGGTTTCCTTCTGATGGCCCTTATGCTTCTCTGAGACTGAGCTGTTTAGATTTGAATTTGTAAAAGTTGAATTTTTAAAATTCAGGTATTTCATAAAGAAGAGTTAGCAAATGCAGAATATTTACTTTGTGTGTAGAATGTAATCATTTGTTTGATACCTGTAAGATTACTTTCTCAACATATTTAGAAAATCATTTTACACAGAAAGTACTGTGGATCACAATTAGGGATTACTTTGACTGAACAGACAGAACGTAGAGTTCTCTGGCTGAATTTAATTCCATGCTGCTAAACAGCTTAATGTATTTATTCTATAATCTATACAGAATGGTGAATGATGGTGTTGATTGGGTTAGCACTGAATGACTGAATGTAGTTTTTGTTGTTTCTTTGGTGAGAAATTAAGCCGATCCTTTACAACTCTAACAACCGTACATATATGTATTCATTATACTCAAATTTTCTGTGGCAACTTTTGAGCTTCATCATATCAGTTTGGCTCATAGGCTTCAGTGGTGTTGCTACTTAAACTGCGCTATGGCAGATGTTTTTTAGATGCAGTCTTTCCCAAGTTCACAGAATTACAGTTTTGCTACGAAGCACGTCCTTGTAATGTGTCGTTGGTCTGCTTGTCAGTCCTTTGGCCACAGAACATAGTCTCTGAAAACTTCTTAACTGCACACAGCACCTACAGTAGTGTATCCGAATGTGCAGCATCACTGTTTTAAAGCTTAATATTTTACAAAATCTCATTGTTTGGGATCTCATCTTGCCTATTGTAGGAGCTAGGGCACAGTGACTGTGGAACTGGCAGAGATGCTTGGCTTGGCTGTATGTCAGCCCGAACTGTAAGAGGAGTAACGACAGCTGTATGGTGCACCTTCACTTCTTGTCTAAGCTGGATGCTTCTGTCCTTCCAGCGGCCATGCCTTCATTCCCCAAAAGTGCACTTGCTTTTGCTGTCCTCTGTATTGTCAGTGCTGAAACATAAACTCTGGTACCTTGTCAGGTTATTACGGTTTGCACTGTACTCTTTAATACAAGCTATTGGTCCAACCTAGTGTTCAGGAAGCAAGGCTGAAATAGCAGCGGGATACAATTGCTTTTCTTTTGTAAAGGTAGATGATATTTCTGTACTCAAATCCGCAGGGAATTACCTCATGCTATATAACAGTAAGCAGTTTTCTTAGGGAGGCAGAGGAGGACTCAAATGTTTGTGTATTAAGTCAATTGCTGCCTTACCTTGAGACATCCATTTCATAATAGGAAGAGTTTCTGCTCTAGGTAGCAGAAGTTGCATCCACGCTAGCTTCTGGCCAGCATGGGTGAACAGTTGTGGGGATTCATCAGAAGTGCAAGGTAACTAGTGCAATAACATACTGAACTCCTCAGTTCAGTGAGACAGGACTTTTTAATTAAAGAGTTAAGACTGTTGCCTGTCTTCATTATGGAACAGGGCTTTAAGGTCACAGGAGGTTGTGAAACCTTTGTAAGGTGTTTTGGAATTATCATGGCTAGCGCTCTGTTGCAGCTTGCAGCTTTCATGCCCACTGTGATATGAAGCTTTGCTTGTGCTGCTTGTTTAGCCACGTAGTAAACAACTTTTTTTTCTGCATACAGCACATACATAGATGTTAATGAAAACCACAGATGGTTTATGTTTAGCAAAGCTGAGGCATCGCGTAGTGTACCTTGTATCCTAAGACTTCAGTCTCTTTTTTTTTTTTTTTTTTTTTAACTCTAGCAGCATAAACTTTAGCTTCTAGTGCTACATTGTTATCTCCAATATTTGAATTATCTTTAATTATTTTAATAGGTGTAATCTGTTGCTTGTTGGAGACCCTAGATAGTAATACCTGAGTCTCTATTTGATAATGATGAGCTCAACAACGTACCACAAGTGGCTGGAATTACTTTAACATCATGAGGATCAAGCTGCTGCAGAGTGATGCAGTCAAGTAATAGGAGCGCTTAGATCACAGGTGCAGTCAGGCCTTTTTTTTTTTTTTTTTTTTTTTTTTCCAGCTTGCTGGAGAACTGTTCCAGCTGTAGGGTAATGTTTGGATTTTCTATACTGGAACCGTGATAATTTCTCCAAGGTGCCAAAACTGCAGTTCTCATAGGAGATGGTAAGCCAAATTAAGAAGCTCCACTACTGAAAGGGGGAAAACCCCTCAGACCTTACCTCCGCCTTGCTCTTTGTGGCCAGGCTTTCCTGGTGCTTGACGTGTTTTGGCCTCCACGTTTGTCAGGCCTCTCCAGGAACAACTTTTAACTGGCTAAGAGGGCAAGTTAGCTAAAACATTGAATGTTTTTCTACTACATTAGTAAGTAATGTGGCTCAGTGTAGCGTCCAGACCTATGCAAGAGGGAGGGAGAAATACATGCTACTAGGAGAGTGGGAGAGAGAGGCAACCCCTTTCTGCAGAGAAATGATGGACTCTGCCCCCCATGAATTTGCAGCCTGAGGCCCAGACAATGTCCATCCTAAAATTCCCACGTATCATTGTTTGGAGACTCTTTAGGACTGAATTAATGAGGGAGCTGAAATGTCTCCCACCCCTCCAGTATTCATTTTAGGTGATGTCTAGGCACAAGTAGTGGTAACAAGGGCTTGGTGGCCATTTATATAATTATGAGTCAATAAAATTAATTTTTGGTGGCAAGTCAAATGCAACAACTGTCACCGACGGCTTTCCCATTTGAGACAAAGTCTTGCTGCTTATTATTGAGATTTCGTCTCGCTGCTTATTTTACAGCTTGCCTATCTAACTGAAAATATATTTCATGTTAAGCTCACCTACCTCGAGGATCTTGTCAAGAAATATCAAGATACCAACCACTTTACAGTCACAAATTTTCCTACCTCATATTTAATATCAGGGACTCTTCTGCTCCATCAGCTGCAGAAGAATGACTGGGTGTGGATGGGGCATCACAGTGGAGGGAAAGGGCACTATCAGCCCTGCAGGGCTGTGTGTGTGTGTGTGTGTGTGTGTGTGTGTGTGTGTGTGTGTACATGTAGTGGGGGGGCAGGTAAAATATTCAGTGATACTTACAATCAGAAGCAAGATTTTAGTGGTGAGGGCCGAAGCAGTAAGTTTTATCCCAATGCTCTGTCTGTTTAGAGAGTCCTTTGTCCCCACCTCACGATCAGCAGTAGTCCTTGGTGCCAGTCGGGCCAGCACTAGGCTTGGCTCCGGTTTGGTAAAGCGAGCGGGTACCTGCGGTCTCTGGGCTGCAGCAGTTGGGGTTTGCTGAAATAAAACATGAAAAATTTGAAATTAATGTTCTCCTTCATGAAACATAATTTAATTAGGAAGAGATGCATATAAACATAAATAAAGCTCAGGCCCTGCAAGGGAATCTATACGAACAGACATGGACTGCGTAGTGAAACTAAGCATCTACTGAAACACACCACCTTCAAATGACCTTCTTGCCCTCTGTGAAATATATTGAAATGAGTCGTTTGCTGGGCTGAGGATGAAAGTTATTTTGTACCGTGAAATCTGCCTAGTTCTCTTTCCGTAGATCCAAAAGAAGGATCACAAATACCCCTCTACAGGGACAGGCACGCTCTTCGTCTTCATTGCAAAATGACGGTTGACTACAAGGGCCGATCACAAACTCGGCCTCGGCCATCAGACAGCGTTAGAGC